CACACACACACACACACACACACACACACACACACACACACTAAAATAAAATAAGAATCTACTTTTTACAAATGCTGCATAGAGAAATACACTGGGCGCTTGGAATAGAGCTTTCATAGCAGGTTTGTCAGGAGCCAGGCCCTGGGTTCAATCCCCAGTTTCGGGCAGGGGGCCTGGCAGCACACCCACAATTCCTGCACTCTAGGGAACAAAAGGATCAAATTTGAGCACAAGGAGCTGGATGTGGTGGTGCATGCCTATAATCCCAGTGCTTGGAGGCTGAGCCAGGACAATCACCATGAGTTCAAGACCAGCCTGAATTATATAATGAGGCTCTGCCTCCAAAAAAATTTGAGCCCAGTCCGGACAATTTATTGGCTTAGTGAGACTGGTTCTCCAAAAATATGAAAGGGCTGGGGTGGGCTTAGTACCTGGAACCACCCACAGGCACACTGAAGTAGGATCACAAAATATCTTCAATCTGTCTTTGTTTTTGTTTTATTTGTTGTTTGCTGCTAGGGATTGAAACTGGAGACACTAGCAGCTAAGCAATGTTCTACCCTAGAGCTACACCTTCACCCCCCTTTGTATTTAATTATCTGAAATTCCAAGTGATATTTGTATCTACTTGACCTCTCTTTACAATTACCTCGCAGTGTGCCTGCTAGCCTAAAATAAAGATACACTGTTACCAACATATATTGTTTTTAAGCTGTGTGGTAAATTATTTAACAAAGCACACAGATCATCCTTTGAGTGTAAGTTTAGTCTCGTTTTCTCTCAATGAATCCCAATCATTTATTTTTCTGTATCATTTCCAACCCAAAGCCTCTGCTCTAGCATAAAGTGCCTTCCACAAGTCTGAGCCCCCATGCTCTGTCTCCAGCTCCTGCATACACAGCATACCTTTCTGTGTGTGTCTGTACGGGGTTGAACCAGGGCCTTGTGCATACCTGACAGTCGCCCTACCACTGAGCTACATTCCCAGCTCCGGTCTGAGACAGGATCTTGCTAAACTGCCTAAACTGGCCTCACACAATTCAGCCCACTGAGGCTGAGATTACAGGCTTGTTCTACTATGCTGGGTCATATCCTGCCATCACATCCTTTTTCCAACTACAACACAGGGGGGCCGGGGAGACGGCTCAGTAGAATAAGCGCTTCCCTGGCAAGCGCAAGGGCCTGAATTTGATCCCTGGTTCTGCCAAAAATAAATAAGTAAATACATACATACACACATACATACAGAATGGTCATCTCAATTGTATTCTTATACTAATGTTCAATCTAAGAATCATGTAATATATTTCCAATTCAACAAATGTTAACTAAGTGCTTCTTAGAATTAACAGCATATTTATTATATTTTAAATAAAGGCTATTCCATTTTTAAAAATTTATTATATATGAACCATTAACAGTTATACAAAATCTCCAGGGGTTTCAGAATATCTAATACAAATGCCTATAATATTAGTTTTAACAAAAAAGAAAAATAGATCATACTGGCTTCCATTTATTGTTATAATCATGTGTTAGATGTAGAGTACATATAATACTAAAGATATAGAAAAGATTTGTTATGCCACTAAGAAAAAAATCACATATGTTCACATTTAAGTGACTGGCTATAGTCTTACGGTTTGAGGGTTTTTTGGTGTCTTGCTTTCGTTCTTTGAGACAGTCTCACTGTAGTTCATATTGGCCTTGAACTCACCATGTAGCCCAGGTTGGCCTTGAACTTGTGTTGAGCCTCCTGCCTTACCCTCCCAAATGCTGGGATTTCAGGGATGTTCCACCATGCCTGGCTCTGTACACTTAGGTTGTTTAAACATATCTTCCTGTTTTTTGTACAATGGGAAAAAATGTGATTACAAAGAAATTTCTGAAATGCAAACTATCTGCTTTCCGATGTTACCTCCTGTCATCATGGATTGGAATGCAGCTGGAAAGGAAAAAAAAAAAAGAAGTTACCTAAAAAGCTAAATGTCGCCATCACACTGGTTTTCCAGTTGTTCAAACATATCAAATTATTTTGAATGATGTCTTTAATGATTTTGTTTTGTTTGAGATAGGATCCCACTATGTAATCCAGGCTGGCCTCAAACTCATGGCAATCCTCCTGCCTCAGCCTCTTCAGTGCTGGGATTACAGCTGTACATCACTATGCTCAGCTCATCAATGATTTTAAATTTTATTTATTTATGTGAGTGTGTGTGTGTGTGTGTGTGTGGCCAGCTCAGCCCACCAGGGGGGTGGGGCTGGCTGGCATGTGGTGCTGGGGGATTGAACTGTGGTCCCTGTGCTTTGCTAAGCTTGTTCTAAGTAGGTGCTTTAGACCACTGAGCCATCTCACCAGCCCTCATCAATGATTTTAATATTGAACAATCTGGCCTACTCTCCCAGCCCCCAGTCTGCTTGCCAACAGCCCCACTACCCTCTGCAGGGAATTCAGCCCAGGTCTGAATCAGTAAGGAAAGGAGATAAGATAGGAGGAGGAAGTTTGCAGGTCCTGGGGACATCTCAAGACACCCAAGAATTTACAACCATCACTTCAAAGGAGGCAGCCCACTGAGATGCAAGGCTGCCAGAAAACTTTAACCACAGATGTTTCCTGGGCTCTTTCCACCTCATGTGTGTGCCCTGCCTTCGGGACACACTTCTCTTTGTTCAAGGCAGAAGGTCTCAGTGAGCTCTCAAATTCCACACCATGCTTCCTTTACACAAGCCTGGTGGTGTCAGCTAATTAACATGTTAGGAAAACCTCAAGTAAAACCAAGTTATACCACAAACTAATCTAGTTCACATTTTTAAAAATTACTGTTACCTAAATTAGAAATGAACAAAATTTAAAAAGTTACCTAAACCCCAACTGACTTTCTGAATCCTTATGTTCTTATACACGGTTTGAAAAACCAAAGAAACATTTTACAGTTTGAAATGTCAAAATAATATTTCTCAAACAGCACTAAGTTGAACTCTAATGCAGTTTGACTAAATTTAAGGACAATTTTACAGAGAAGAAACATGCTTTGGAGCTAAGGCAGGAGGATCTCAGGCTTGAGGCCAGCCTGGGCAATTCAGTGAGACCACCTCAAAACAAAATGAAACACTTTCAGCTCGGTGACAGAGCACTTGCCTCTGGGTTTGACCCCCATCGTCTCATACACACAAAAACAAACCCACATAAAATGTTCAGAAAGCATTGATCTTCAGAACTGAAAGAAAAAATGGAGAAAAAAAAAGGAGAAAAAATGGGTAGGGGTGTAGCTCAGTGGTAGAGCATGCTCCAGACCCTGGGTTCAGTCCCTAGCAAACACACACAGAGAGAGAGAGAGAGAGAGAGAGAGAGAGAGAGAGAGAGAGAGAGAGA